GTGCGGCACCTAGGTTCAATTTACTATGTAGTTACTGCGTGTTAAGATATTTTTCTGTAAAGTATATCAAATTTACATAAAGAATAATAAGTATCGTATCAGAATATTAAGCTAAATAAGTCACACAAATATGTATTTCGTAACCTGTGATCACGTGCCATCGTGAACAAAGTTCACGATCGAGTTAAACCCTGCCACAGCATAACTGAAAGAAAAAGAGAAAAAAAAAAACAATAATAATAAATTGGTAGCGTTGAATGGGCATATTCATTATAGACAAAGAAGTATTATAGACTCCATTCAAATTATTAGTTTATTACTCGTTTTATTACATAAAAGTTGCCTCTAAACAAATATTTAAACCTATCTATTATTATTAGAACTAATAATGGCTTGCGCATGAATTTGATTAAAATATTAGATAAGTATATCCAATTCTTGCAAAAAAAAAACCTGTTATTAGATTAAATAAGAAAAACCCCGATTTCTGGATTTAATAATTTTAAATATATTATCGTTGTCTAAGCCCCTAAAATTAACCTCGAATGCTCTTATAGTAATTATTATGCCTTCCATCACGAGTGTCCTGTACATTTTTACCAATCATTTTATTCTCATGTGAAAATGTGATGTGCATTCTTAAATCAAAAAAGTATAGATCACATGTCATGGGAAATTTCGATATTTTCCACTTTTGTTTATCAAAAATTTTAGCGTAATAAATGTGACTTCGAGATAGGAAGAAAATTCGATCTGCTATATAGATCAAACGTGGACATAATTGCCATGAATATCCTCTACATTTTTGTTTATCGACTATATTACAAAAGTTGCAAAAGTGAGAGAATTAACAATAGGTTTATGATACCATAATTGTATGATATGTATACTAGCGTTAGAGTTCATTTGTTCTGTTTTATGGTCATGATCAAAACCATAACCTAAGTGCGCAAAGAAAAAAAAAAACAAGAATAATTATAATGATAGAGTGTAGAAAATTATTGAATTATAAATTGTAAAAAAATTAATTATGTAACGATGAAATTTTGTTATCAATGAAGCATCTTCTAATGTTACTTAATAGCGAAACCTTACTCTAATTTAACTGCGTAATTTTTTTTAGTCAAGGCCTTGACAATCATGTGATCTTAGTTTTTCGCAAATTCGTGTAACAGTAACGTCATTAATCAAGCATACTACGTACTCACCAAGATCCAAACCCGAAATTTACCATAATAATTGCATCTAGATATTTTCAATACGCATTCTATTACTATCAGGGAACCATAAACTTGTCTCTGGTATATATCTGATATGTTATACATACGTACGTATAATTTCATTGTGTAGCTTCAATTTAATAATTTTTGTTTGTTACCTAACTTGCAGCCTCGCATGTCCGAAATGCTTTCAAAATGTGTAACAGATTGATCGACAAAAAATTAAGAAAAAACCTTTTCTACAAAATTTGCCTATGAATTTGTGATCTTTGTTCTCTAAGAAAAAAGAAAATTCTATTCATGGTTTTGGTAAAATTTGCATAAATCCTTTTTTTAACTCTTCTAAAGCTAACACTAACATTAAATTTGTTAATATACATAAATTGTTCCACGTTTTATGTCTTACCACTTTTCCTGGGTGTAAACCAATACTGATGATTGATTATGTACTGTATTGCACAATATTATTTGGTAAACATTTTCCGAAACCAGTTTTTGGCAAGAATATTTTAAAATTATATCCAAATTTGTTCATTGTATACGTTATGATAATTTTACTTATATTTAGCAACCTGGTTGGCCCACGAACAATTTTCTCTCTGCTTTTTTTTTAAAGAAAAAATGTTTATCTTTTATTTCTTGTTAGCATGCCTTGCGTTATATTATATTTTCAGATCAAATACTCCACATGGTCTTAAAAAGCTCCCTTCTCCACCAGGTAGAAAGTTTTACTTTGGTTAGTATAAAATTTATTAGAGTAAATAATTTTAATTTTCTATTAGGAAACTCCTCCATTCCAGTTATTCATTGAGCAAATTGTAATTCTAGTAAATCCTAGAGCTTTATATGAGAGCGATTTTTTGACATATTATATCATATAGATTTTAGGTTCATTAATTTGCTCATGGTAACAAAATATTTATTATATCTTTATGTTGGCTGCTCAAAAATAATACAATGAGTAAACATAAAAAAAAACGATCGAAAAGTATTTAGATATGCTATGTGAACTTAAACAGATTCAATATAAAAAATTGATATATTTATTATTTTTATAACTATTTATATATATTAAAAAAATTAAATTTAAAAAATAATGAATTTTTTGTAGGCCATTTTTTTTCAAATTGGACGCGAGCCACATAAGAAGTAAGAGATAAATATATTAATAAGATTTAATTGAATAACATAATTATTAATATTTAATTTAAATAGATTTACAGAATGGGCGAAAAGTTTAGGCGATATTTATGGTATACATATGGGTCAACAATATTGGATTATATTGACTAGTGATAAAGTGGTTGGTGAACTTTTACAAAAGCGTAAGCTAATTTAAATTCTCATACTAACTTATTATATGTTAACAGTTTAAATAGTAATTGAAGAACTTTTTTTTTAATAATAGGTGGTGGAAAATATTCAACTCGTATACCAAGTTATTATTTGTATAATATAATGACCCGAGGAAAGAGTTATGTCAGCTGTCCATATAATGAGAGGTATAAAATGCTTACCCCTATTAGTAAGTAATTGAACGTATTGATTTTTTTTTTTACTACTATTTTCATAGCTTTAATTTAACTGATTTAAATTCCATTTAAAATAGTTCATGGAATTCTGGACCAACGCAATGTTAAAAAAAAATCTAAATTACTAGATGATGAATTTCATATTCTCATGCAAAACCTTTGCAAAGCTTCAATTACATCAAAAGATGGTTTTTATCCTAAATATTATTTTCATCTTACAAGTTTAAACATTATAACCCTTTTATGCTTAAACATGCGTACAGAAAGTGTGGATGATCCATTTTATACTGAATTTGAAGATTTAATGAGAAAACGGTTTGATTTGGTTAAAGCAACAAATAGATTATCTGAATTTTTTCCAATATTGAAGTTGTTTCCAAAAAATAAATTATATAATAATTTAATTGAGAATAGAAAAAATGTTGAAGCTCTTTACAGAAAATTGATCAAGGATGTTATAGATGATAAAGATGAGAAGCCATGTGTTATTAGAGATTTACTTCATAAAAAGGACGAGGGAATCCTTGATGAGCTAGACGTTATTTATATAATGGATTCGTTGTTTTCTGGTGGAACTGTAAATATTATAAAAAATGGTTTATTTCCTGCATAGGGTCAAAATAATTGATATTTAAAATTTTTAGGACACAGTTTCAGCAAGTTTAACATGGCTTACTGCTGCTTTAGCTAATAATCCTCAAATTCAATCTAAAGCTCATCACGAACTTGATCGAGTAATTGGTCAATCTCGTCTACCAGAAGTTTCTGATGAACCAAATATTCCTTACATACGTGCTATAATTAAAGAAGGTCAAAGATATTGTGGCCCAATTTATCTAGGTATACCTCATGGCATTGAAGAGGATGACGAATATAATGGATATCATATTCCAGCAAATTCTGTGGTAATTTTAAATCAGTATGGAATTCATATGGATGAGAAAAGATATGAGAACCCCAAAGAGTTTAAACCTGAAAGATTTTTAGGATTTACAGAAAGTAGTGAAACTTTAGCAAAAGGAAATTATGAGCATAGAGACCATTTCGGGTTTGGAGCAGGAAGGAGACTTTGCAGTGGAATTCATATGGCATGTATAATATTTTAAAAATAATGATTTTATTGATCAAATTATTTATAAAATTATTTATAAATCTTAAAAAAAGGCCGATGTGATGAAACTGGTAGATGTTATTGTTGGTATGATTCCAAGGATACTTATTATGAAAAAATTAGAAATACATCTTCATATATACACGAGCACGATTTCGAATATGGATATAGATCTGAATTTTCTGTGAATGATTATGAAGTATTTCAAATTTTTAAAAAGAATTTATAGCTTTAATATAAAACAGGTTATTTATTTAATGGGTTTATTTAGATATTTATTTTTCATCATCATGCAATAGTTTAAATTCAATATATTCAATAAAATGCTAGGAGGTGCAGCAAAAAGTACGATTTCATGGTGAGTCAAATGATGTATGTGAGTCTCAGTATCTAATTATTTTACAGAAACCTGGAATCCTAATTTCTCTCCAAGTTGTGATTGGACGCATGAAACCCGTCTTTAATTGGATAAACTAGATCACGCCACCTTAGTACAGCAAAATCAAAAAACATCGTTTTAGTTTTTCTTCAATAAAAAAAAAAAAAAAAAGTAAAATAAAAAAAAAGAACTCAGATCATTTTTATTTTTATTTTTATTTATGCACTTCAGGATTCTTTCTGCTGACAAAAAAAATTAGAATAATCTAAAATATTAACGAAAATAAATGCTTCTGATTCAACAAAAAAGCTTTTGTTCGGTACTTTATTCTCAAGAAAATAAAATTTTGCTGAGACCTAGTTTATAAGCTTATAATTTTATCATATACCAAACTCTGTTTCAAAATTTCTTAACTATATTCTGGGCTGCGACTTTTACTTTTGCTTAGAAAATAATGGACACGAACATTTGGAATGTTTCAAGTTCATTTTTATTAATATTAATATTAATACAATACTGCAAATAAATAAATGCTACTGAAGTTGCTAAGTAATAGATTTATTTTAATACGTAATAATGCAATAATGTAATTCAAATTCTAAAAGACATTTTCTTGAAAGGAAATAATTCGTCAATATTATGTTCTTTCAGAAAATAGATTTTACAATACTGCAATAGATGCTAGTTTTCAAATTAGTAATACTGAAATAAATATTACTGTTAAGTTGCTAAAAAATAATTAGTAAATTTTTACACACTTACAAAAACAAAAAAATTAATATTTATTTTGGTTTGGATTTTTTGTATAGTAGTATTGCTTAAAGTAGATATGTTTATTTTAGTAATATTTGATAAAATTGGTGGAATTTTATTTAATTATTCACATGTAACTATTTATTAAAAAAAACTTAAAAGTCAAAAACTCAAAAAAGCAAAATGTTGAATTTTTTTTAGAAAAATTTTAATCAGTATGTAATTATGAAAATAATATTTAAAAAGTAATTTGTAATAAATTATATAATTATACTAAGTTTTTAGCTACCCTAATTAATGATATAATTGGTTTTATTAAATGGAAGGTTAAAAAAAAATTAGTAAATTTACAGAACAATTATTATAAGATGTACGTAGTGCTCGGCAAAACCAAACAAAAACTCGATTATCGAGTTTTTGAATCTATCAATTTACAATATTGGGAATTAAATA